AACGGGCCGCACGCATAGGCCGTCTGTTATGCCGACGTAACTCGCAAAAACACTGAATGCAAATGGTCGTCACCGGCAATCCGGTTTCTGTGGATGCAGTATATGTATGTCTTTGTAAATCGGAACTTACCTATATGTGTACGATGTAACTACTAATTTCATGGACTTTGAGTGAATTCATTTCACTTATCACTGCTCAGTAGGTGAAATAAGATAAAGGAGTGAAGCTTTTGAACGCTCTTTTCTTCAATTTTTAAACTAAATTACTGTGAAAATGTAATCATTTTGATATTTATAAAACCTAAAATGATATCAAATCTAGATGATGGTGGAAAAATTCATAAGCCTTAATTTTATTATTACAAAAAATATTGTAAATTATATGACACGTTAATCAATGTTCCTTTAAAATAAGGTGGATATAATCAATTCGATGCTTTATTTATAAGGATACGACGTCTGTGCTACACCGGATATCATATTGCGTAGCTGCATGCTGTCAATCAGAAGTAGTTTCAGTTAATTGATTGCTATACCACTAAGCGCTATCTCAGCATATTTATCGATATCTTGCTAGGTGTTACTAGCGCACCGTTTTTGTAGCGGCTTTACGCAAGTCGATACAATGTAGAGTTCTTGGTAGGTCCATGTACTCGTATTATACAGGCAACGGCACATCAAGGTAAACACTGATTGGTCTTATGCAGTTGGAATAGGAGCGAATTTGCAATAAAATGAGTAGTTTGATATGCTGTCGTCTGTACATTGTCTACACGTATTAAAATTCTATTGTGAACTGATTTAATGCTATTCTCATTTGTCTTTGGTATCTAAGTAATCGGGAGCGTATTATCTTTCCTCATTTCTTACGTTTGATGAATCTTGTTCGTGTGATTTCTTAAATTATCAATCCTATATTTTATCTACATATTAATTTAACAACTTTGTTTTGATTCAGTAAAGGTATTCAACCGAATTGATATTGTATGAAAAACTAAATTTTTTTATTATTCAATTTGCTATTAATTAGCTAACAGCGGAAATACAGCTTTGAATACGCGTATAAAGTGATTTACAAAATTTTCAATTTACCTTATAACCGTTAACAATAACCAATCATTTCAAATGTATTATAACAATAAAAACAATTGAAATCTATAAGACCTTGCACTCAACAGTCGGCTTGTTGGAAGATAATTAACTAAATTTTCATGTTAAAATTGGAGTACCACAATAATAATAATATTTTATATTTACCTAACCAACAAAGTTCTGAATAAGTACAACCCAATGTCTTAAAGTATATAGTTTAAAGATAATTTTACTTGCTGTATTGTTAAATACAGTACAATGTTAAATTGTTATGTTAAATGACGTTTCTAGATGATTGCTATTAAAATGAGATAAACTTAACTGTTTTTATTTTACTTACCGTATTTCACTAGGAGACATAGTGATCTAGTCCAGACGTTCAAAGTTTTGACAATAAAAACTAATATTGGCATGGATTTCAGTTTTCAGAGAGACTATCTTTGGAAAACACACATCGACTCTTTGGAAAAGTCTAATTTAAAAAATTACATTTATTGAACACTTTTACATGAAAAGGTAATACTTATACATAAAAATAATAATAATCATTTCAACCTCTCTACAATATTCTTGATAGAGGCCACATCTATTGCGTTATGATTCTTTGTCTCCCCTTTTCATCGTCCATTAAGAATTGCTTCACCAATTTTGCTAAAGGATTGAATCGATTTTATTATTGCCATTATTGTCTTAAAGGTAATTAGTTCTTCACAATTGGCCTTTATGATGAAATTTCTTCATTCTTCCTTTTATCTATGATCCTTTTATATCGATGTAATAAATCGTTTAAATCTTTCGGTCATAATATTTAAGTGCCGAGGTCAACTAATTAACGGATAGATATTTCAAAAGGTGGTCTAGTTGTTGTAACTAGTCAAACGTTAGTTGTACTAGACGAATCAAATTCTTCAGTGAATGTTATCCACTTTGCCTTGAGACTTTAAACAATGCAGGACTGTCAAATCTGTCAATAGGGTCTAAGGGGTTAATTACCTACATTATTAGTTTTGCGATTTGATCACGCAATGGATATGGCGCCAAGTCATTAATTATCAGTTCTGTGGGCGAAGGGGGAGTGACCTCGATCGTTTTGTTGTAATGGTCACACGAAAATTCGCCATGATACCCAAGCGCCGCTCAAGTTCATTGTTGTAAATTTTTTGCCACGTTACGGGCATGACTATAAGAAAGAAAACTCATTAAAAGTACATTATTTTTAAAAAGGGGTTCTTCTAGAGCTCAAATTTAACATGGAACAATATATTTAAATCTATCAGTTCAACGCATAGAAAGCAAATAGTTGTAAGTACGATAGGAAGTTTTCCAAATCTCTTTCAACGTTACGGTCAGGTAGCTTCACTTACTTTTCTATTAAAAACATATCATATGAAAGTTTCGCATATTGTCATGATCATGATATGAAATATACAGTGTGAGTCACGTTAAAGTGTACATATCAAAATAGATAAAACTAGACCTATTTTTATCGACAAAAAAGAGGTAAAAAAAATTTTGTGATTTTTTTTCAATTTTTTATAGAATTTTTTTTCTTCCAATTACTTATTGTAAAGAAAACATAATAACTTTTAAACTAAGCGGTATATCTTGATACAATAAAAACAGTAACAATGCTAAATAACAGGCAATACTAAAAAAATACATAAAATACACAAAAAAGGCCAACAAATAATAACAAATTATACTTTTTGAAAAAAATCCGCTTAAAAATTCGTGTTTTTTTGGTTATTTGATAAATTTCTCCAAAAAATGCCCCTATAACAGGTAGTTTTTATTACTTTGTATTATTCTCTATCATATTACCTTCGTAAAACGAAAAATCGCATGTCTCTATCCCTATCACGACGTTTGCAATGATCGTTTGAACTAAGCCTCTCCGGGCGCGCCATTCAACGCTTCGTTAACAACAAAACTGAAAATGGCTCTAGATTTGTAATTTTGATAAAGACAAGTTAGATTTCAAATAAAAACAAAAGATATCGAGGAAAATTAAACATTTTAGTTAAAATTAAAATTGTCTCTACCTGTAGCGGAGAATAATGTTGTGGCAGGCCTTTGTTCAAACGATCATAGCAAATGTTGTGATAGGGATAGAGACATGCGATTTTTGGTTTTACAAAGATAATACGATAGAAAATAATACAAAGTAATAAAAACCACCGGTTATAGGGGCATTTTTTGGAGAAATTTATAAAATAACCAAAAAAACACGAATTTTTAAGCAGATTTTTTTCAAAAAGTATCATTTTTTATTATTTGTTGGCATTTTTTGTGTATTTTATGTATTTTTTTAGTATCGCCTGTTATTTAGCATTATTACTGTTTTTATTTTATCAGAATATACCGCTTAGTTTAAAAGTTATTACGTTTTCTTTATAATAAGTAATTTGAAGAAAAAAAATTCTATAAAAAATTAAAAAAAAATCTCAAAAATTTTTTGACCTCTTTTTTGTCGATAAAAATAGGTCTAGTTTCATCTATTTTCATATGTACACTTTAACGTGACTCACACTGTATATAAATTGCACAAACTCGTGATCTATTCTGAACAGCTCAAGCAAGGTGAGCCGTTGACAGGCTGAGTGGCGCGGAGACACGCAAATTGCAAGTAATGCATTGTGCTTGAAGTAAAGGGCAATCTTATTGTGAACATTGGAGTAATCGCAATATATTCTAATACAGTTATTGTAACAAATTGCATTTTATTGGTTTCGAATCAAAAAACAATCAATGGAAATAATGATAAACATATTTTGATTTGATCTAAACAGGTTTATCTCAACTAATTTAATTAAACATCAATTAACATGCATCCCAATGACAGAATGGTTCTAATAATAAATAGAACATTCATAATAAATAAAAGTATATTATGTATGTATTTTAAGAACTAATAAGAACAATCACTTTGAAACGATTCACATCACACACATTTCTCGTATACTGACTGTGTACATTGGAGCAGATCTACCACCATTCATAAAGTAACCAATTCTATGAATGCATTCACTTAGTTTGCTGTTGCGTAACTCTTGTCACGATTTTATCAGTTTTGATATATGAATATTGTATGCGTACTCATTTTACGAGTAAACTACAATGTTAAGGTCAAACAAATTGACCTAGGCGAAGCCATTCATTAAAATAACGCATTTTTTTTTGTATGTGCATCTATTCACGTCTCACATTCTTTGAATGTAATGTTCAAACATGTAGCCACATTCATTGTGGTTTGAGCCAGATGCTATTAGTGGCCTTGAGGTATCTAAGTCGAGTAAAAGTCTGCCCAATGATGACTCAGCATCCGCTGACTTGCAGGTAAAACAAGATCACAGCGTGCTATTGTCAATCATGTAGTATCAATCAATATTATAAAGCTATCTACTTCCTAATTAATTCAATCCCAACTTCCCAATCCCAACTAATATAATATATATATTATATAATATTATAATATATAATAATATAATATTATAAATGCGAAAGTAACTCTGTCTGTCTGTCTGTCTGTCTGTTACGCTTTCCCGCTTAAACCTCGCAACCGATTTTGATGAAATTTGGCATAGAGATAGTTTGAGTCCCGGGAAAGAACATAGGATAGTTTTTATCCCGGTTTTTGAAACAGGGACGCGCGCGATAAAGTTTTTCTGTGACAGACAAAATTCCAAGCGGGCGAAGCCGCGGGCGGAAAGCTAGTTGAATATAATTATTGACAAAAAATAAATAGTCGATCAAAAGACATCAACGCACGCTCACATTTACACACGCATAAAATAATTTTATTATTATTTTAAGAGCCGCATAAAAATTACTGCTGGTAATAAACTACAGTATTACTTACATCTTAATTTAGCGTTTATTACGTAATTATAAAGCCTGTTTTTTTTCAGAACACGCGATGGGAACGCGAATGATAATACTATGCGCGTGCCTCGCTGCCGCGAGCGCGACGCTAGAGGTGGTCAATCAGTGGAACTTGATGCAGTTCGACTTCCCACCTGACCCCGTGCTCTTGGAGAAGTTCCAGCCTGAGAACACTGTCCCCACCGGTCTGGAGATCGGCTGGGACAAGATCTACCTGGGGATCCCCCGCCTGAGGGCCGGCGTGCCCGCCACGTTAGCTTGGGTGCCGAGAAGCCTTCCCTCTGGCGTTAGCCCGGTCCTACAGGTAACTTAAAATAAGTATAACTTGTTTTTTGTATGACAAATCTAGCCAATGCGAACTTATTATTCAAGACATACTGATGGTTATGAGTAGAGAATAATAAAAACTATTATAAGTACTAAAAGCTCGTGCTACCATAAAAATAATTTGCTATAAAAATGCGGTAACGGAAATCAAAATAGCGAGGTTCAAAAAAATTATGCATATTTGTGTAAATCGTAAATTCTTGCATGTAAACAAAGCAATTTTCCATGATTGCCTCAATATCTTTATTGTGCTTCAATATCAAGTGTGCCAATGCACACTGTAAGAAAAACTAAGTTAAGTACTGCTAAGACACCTACTAGGTGGACCGACGATCTGGTAAAGGTCGCGGGAAGAGCCTGGATGCGGGCAGCGCAGGACCGTTCATTGTGGAAAACCTTGGGGGAGGCCTTTGTCCAGCAGTGGACGTCATTTGGCTGAAACGAACGAAGACACCTACGTGAAAATTTAAATGTGAAAAAAAGTGAAACTTCAAATATATAAATATAATTTTGAGCCCCGTCTAACATATTGTTACAAAACAGCCTTAATGGGGAAACTTAACTGATCTTTAAAGTAATAAAGAACACTTCACGTAAGAGATTAAAGCTTAAGATTCATAAAGTAGTAGACAGTAAACATAATCCTTATCTACATCTCGCAAATGCAAATGACTTATAAATACATCAAGGATCTGCAAATCACGTTAAGTAGATTCATAGATATTACTTTGGTATTCTGTTAACTGATATATTACTACATAATTACGTAGTATTTCAATTTCGTATTCCATAATTTGTTGCTAACCGCGCTGTAAGTATTCAAGTGTAAATGTTTTATTGGTGTTACACTGACTGTTCGGTTTACAGAGTGGAAATTAATATGTTGGAAGACAGCTCTGTTGATTAATAACGCCATGGACGAGTAATAATTACTTTATGTAATTCGCAATGAGCTATTTGGTACGCGATAAGTTCGTGTGCACGATGAGGCATGTAATTGAAAGTACTGGTTTCAGTATAATCGTAATTTACGCAGATCATTAGCAAGGGTAGTAAGTGCGGTAGCGTTTTTGTAGGTTTGTTCGTAATAGCATGTCTGTATTAACCGCTAATTCGTTGCTAAAAGTTGTTAAATACAGGGTATACGGTATACGCTTTGTGTAAGTATTATCTGTGGTATAATGGTTATGCTTCCGAGTGGGAATATTGTTTCAGGCGATTTTCTCACATCAATGCAGGTTAAACTACAGAAATAAGTACGTCTTGCACTAATAACCTAATCACAGTTGAAAATTGAGGTACATTGAAGCATGTGAATGGAAACAGATAAATAAGGATAGGCCATATTTTCGAAAAAAGTGTTTCACCTTAGTGGCAGTCCAAGATAATAAATGGATTGCGTTATGAGCAATAGGAACTGTGTATTGAGTATTGATTTATGCTTTAATGCCAAATAATTGGTATTTATGGCGAACTTAATGCCATAAGTATATCGAGTAACATAGCCCACAAGTTTTCAACTTAGCATAGCCCAAACTACTCTTAAAAATTCCTACCTAACTCTTACATCCTGTATAATAAGCCGGAGTTATGCGGAACTATTGAGATATTTGGTCTTAGCATGTTAAACTAGACTTTATCGTATTAAAGGTGAAACGTCATGTTAAGCTCTTAAGTCGTTTTTTGTTCTGAATATCAAATTATTGTTGTAGAAATTTCAATTACAAGTATTTTAATATCTAACTAACAATATGCAATGGCACAAAGGCAACACTGCATTTTGTAGTAAATAACTTTTGAATTGCGACACACTTCTTGCCACAAAACGTATTTAACTTAAATCACAGAATAACGTAAATTAAGATTGATAGCGTTAATAAACTTCACTGCGGGGGCTTGGCAGGACGGTCTGTCAGGCCGGAATTCAGGGCATACACCTAAAGAGGGGCAATTATGCATACAGTCCCAGCTACTTAGTTCTTGAACTATTTCCGTTAGATGTAAATCACTAAGAAAAATTGACGCAAATCAATTTATTCGAGGAAAATATTCCATTGTGAGGACTAGTTTTTAGTTTTGTTTTCCATTTTTAATTGTGTAAAGAGATCGAGTAGTCTTTTACAAATAAAAATACAATTAAAATCAAGACTTAAAGTGATTATCATTGTTATAGCTATATAAATACCTATTACCTACGCACATTTTAGTTATCCACGCAATTTAAACATTAGTTAGTGCATATTTGTTATGTAGAGCAGGATTAATAAATGAGCACATCGTAATTACGAATTACTGTCTGTTACGCGGTCTTTAGCTTTATTTCAAAATACCTACCTACCTACATTCAAATCACTGAATCTTATGAATGAATCAAACTTTACCAGGTAGATAGGCGCTCACTGTCTTACTTCCTCTATGCAACGCATGCCCTTCCGAATACGAACCATGACGTCTACAGGGTGGAAACGATAAGTGATCTCACTCGATTATTTCTAAACTATACAAGATATCGAAAAACTGATTACTGATCCTGAAAGTGCTTCACGAGCCCTAATCAACGGTACCAATATTAGGTTACAGAATTAACTGGATCTATCCGAAAATGTAATGTTTTCAGCCTCCATACTAAATGTATGCCAGCCAAACAAAATTAGAAGTATCATTTTTTTAAATTAAATAATAAACACTTAAATTGAACTCGTAAATTGCATTCCTAATTAAAATTATTCTTGGGAAACATTGGTTTTAGGCTTTACTTGCTATAATATTAACAAGACATGAGTGCCATTGACTGTGGCTGTACCTACTAAATGTATGGAAACTGGAAACATTGAATTTTTGGATAGATCTAGTTTATTCTGTAACCTATTATTGGTATCGTTTGAAAGAGCTTCTGAAGCACTTTTATAATCAGTAATCAGTTTTTCGATATCTTGTATAGTTTAGAAATAATCGAGTGAGATCACTTAACGTTTCCACCCTGTATATAATTCGCCTAGCATTAAACTAGTACAGTAAAGGTAATTAATTATGAAATTCGTGCTCGAAATCATTCATTAGTACACAATTAACCTCACTTCAACGGATGGTGGATGGTAAATTGATGGTTCCAGTACGTTCGCGTTGTCTGCTGCCACTAAAACAATGTAATATTAGGCATATTACTGTCGGAAATCATCGTTTGCAGTTTCCTAAAAATATGTTCATTATACGGGATATAATAATTAATTAATATGCGCCGCTGCGATTTTTTAATCTCATTGTGTTTAATAGAGCAATTTGATGGTTTACTAGATTCATTTTTTACTATAATTGACTATACTTTAAGACGTCGTTGATAATGTGGCTATTTTACGATAGGAAAAGGTAGTTAGTGTATGATTTATTTGATAGCTCTATCATCAATCAAGAATGACGACAAAATGGCAACTTTTAAACGATGGCTTACTTTGTTGGCCAACTAACTACAACTTACGTATTTTGTAGTTAATCATAGATCAGAGTGACTAATTATATAATTATTATACTCTATTACATAAAGCTTTGATTGTACCGAAGTAACAAAGCACTTGGTACCTTAAATACTGGTTTGCCTAGCGCCTTAGTTATTCATACCGTGCTCTTTACGACTAGACTGCTCGCTTTTGTACTTAAAGTTACAATTTAAATACCAAGACTCGGTATCCTTCATAGAAATAGATTGCCAGCTAATAGATAAAGTTCAATCATAGTTTTATTAGATTTAACTGAGCGAAGAAGCCGGATGTTTAAATTTTTATTGCAAGAAAGTGGAAATTAAGTATATAAATTACATTTATTTAGTAATGAGGATTGTTTATTTTGAAGTAACTACATAAAACATGAACAGATGGAGGTATTTTATAACCCAGAAATTAGTTACATGATGTTTTGACAGGTGAAATAAATCGCTCTAACACTAACGAGTGTTTGTGTACCTAAATTGACATCGCGCAAGGAAAATTATTAAATCAAAAATATGACCTGTACCTCTAGTACGAAAAACTTTCGAGTTCGTTTCGTTGCGTATTCAAAGTGTCATCGAAAAATTTTGTATGAAAAATTAAACAGCGCCCCCTATATTATAGCCGCCCTAGGGGGCGCTGTTTAATTTTTCATACAAAATTTTTCGATGACACTTTGAATACGCAACGAAACGAACTCGAAAGTTTTTCGTACTAGAGGTACTGTACCTCTAGTAGGAAAAACTTTCGAGTTCGTTTCGTTGCGTATTCAAAGTGTCATCGAAAAATTTTGTATGAAAAATTAAACAGCGCCCCCTAGGGCGGCTATAATATAGGGGGCGCTGTTTAATTTTTCATACAAAATTTTTCGATGACACTTTGAATACGCAACGAAACGAACTCGAAAGTTTTTCCTACTAGAGGTACAGAAGGCAATGATGAAAATTCTTAAACTTACGCAATTATTTTAAATTGCTCGTGGGCAGCTACTTAAGGCAATATCGTCGATCAAGTTCTTATCCGTGGTAATAATTTTACTGTTATACAGTTTTTAGTTTAAAAATTCTTACAAAGTAAGTTACTTACGCCCGTGGCTCGATGCAATAAGACCTACACACGGGCTTGAGAAAGCGTGAAGGGCGGGCTTCAAGCATTCGGAGCTACAGCTTGGTAGGTAGCCTTGAGGTACGAATAACGTGGAATGCCAGACAATACTCCAACTAGTGTTCAACAGACACATAGTTGTTTTAATACTACTTAGTCACGTGTCAACAATATTGAATGCATTTTGCTAAGTATTACACTAAAACCTAGGTAAGGTTTTAGTTGTGCAATTGGTATTTTAAGCGATCATGCCTGGCTGGAACTATTAAAGGCGAGAGAAAAAACTTTAATGTCCAGTTTGGAATGAATTAAACAATTTTGTTAGTTTCGGTCTACATTAAACTAAATCTGAATTGGCGGTAGTTGTGTAGAGCTTTATAAGTAGCAGTCCTTGGCACAATGCAACTTAGCTTTATTATTTGTAAGTGGTAATTGAATTATAGTCCACGCCTACAGACTTTGGCAGTTTTGTAATATTCTTACAAATAGTTTTGTTCTCGTAGATTATGATAAATTTCTACCAAAACAAGGCCTTTTATGTCTCGGCGATTTTAACACTATTTAATTTAGCAATCATAGACAAGTATAATGCTCATACCTATCTAGGGACACGTCTGTCTCAATGTTAGTGCACTGTCTTTGTTTCACAAATTGATAAGTTCTATTGGTAGGTATGGACAAACATACTTGCGTCTTGTAGTAGATATCTACCGACTGTTAAGGTTTTTACTTGCATTTAGTCTCACGATTTGTCCCTTGTACCGTGTGAATGTGACTAGGTGTCACAAAATATGTTTCTTTGTTCTTAACGTTCATTTGTATGCAACGTTCGGAAAAATGCAGTTTCCGATTTGTGGCCATAGCTGTGTGAACTGAATGAAATCCACCTACTTCACAGGAATTTTAATTGGCATTTGAACGCGTTCTGCTTGACTTGATTTGAAATTGCTTTAGGTATGACATACTCGTAGTCATTTTCAAGGGTTTAATAATATTATGATTTGTTTTTGTGCATCATTGATTTCATTGTCTAAATAATGATATTGACCTTGAGTGTTATAAATATTTGAGGTTTACTATTTTAGCCCTTATCCGTAGTCTTCGTAAGAGTTCTGGGTTATCAAAGAAGTTAAATATGTACCTTAATACTATAGCTACATGGTTCGTTTCCAGGCATACCCTGACTGGTCATGGCACACCGCAGGCCGAGGGGACATCAACTGCACCGGTCTGATCTCGGTGTACCGCGTGCGAGCAGACCGCTGCAACCGCCTGTGGGTCCTGGATGCCGGCGTCATCACCAGCATCGACGACTTCCGACGCGTCTGCCCGCCCAAGATCCTCATCTTTGACATGGCTACTGATCGATTGGTGAGTTATCTTTATGGATTATATACCTTGATGTGTGTCTTCAATAGAGTAGTTGAAACTAATCTATTGACATACTTGTGAGCTGTCAAAACGTGACTCTACATTGTTGTATGGTAAAGGGCTCGTTACGTCACTTGCAAGCTCTCGACTAACTTTTATTGATTTGCAAGCTACTAAAATTCAAATTAAATCTTTTTCAGGACGTACCTATAAAGTATTTTTTAAAATAATTGTTAATATAGGCCTTTTCAAGGCGAGATTGAATATCCTAGACTGCATCATCAGGTGCGATTGCTTCAAATACCTGCCTTGTTCTGCATTAAAAAAATGATTTCAACTACCCATTGTACCTCTCAGTGGTGAAAGACTTTGTTGATTTACGCCTGTAGAATATTTGAAGAGGTGAATATGCTGCGCTGATGAATACGAATAATTCCGGAAAACATTCTACAAGCTTCATAAATAAATCATTGAGGTAATTTTAAAATTTATAAACAACTAGGTATACCTTAATTGAAGGACAATTTTCACAATTTTGTATGTTTTCAAGTTACCACTCGCATAGTAAAGTTGTTTATTTGTCGTATTTACAATCGCCACCGTACCAAAAATGGTGCTAATATGCAGTCAATAACATAGCCTAGATATGTCAGATAAATACTAACTGCAAGTAGATCATCCATCATGTTTCTTTTTTATCTAGGACTTGCACACAAACTGGTGCACCACATGTACGTGGGACACTATTTAAGTTGTGAGCCTAACTATGAAAACAAAGTAGTTTATTATTAAAATGGTATTGATTGCGTTTATTGGTATTGTCTTTCATGATTTATGTACTTTTTAATGTGTCCGAAACACTTTTCATAGCATTTTTTCCACTCAGCTTGAGGCACCTCCAAAGCATGGTTTTTGACCGCACCGACAGTTGCTTCTGGCTACATAAATCGCTGTTCACGCATTTAATTTTAATATATGGGTACCAAAAGAAGTGCCTAGATTCCAATCAAGAATTTTGTAGCGTTGGACCTGTTTATTTCATATTTTGAGTGTTCAAATAGTCAGTTGTTTGACGAGACGTGTAAAAGCTCACATTTTCGTCACGAATGGCGATTCGACTATGCTGGTCAGTTTCCCTTATTAAACTGAAGACTTTTGGAAAAAAAGTGGCTGTTTACTATTAAGAATTAACCATTCTAAATTTCTCTAGTAACGTTTCTGTCATATAATCGGATATTTCGGAAAAATAGGCAACCGTAAGTTTTAAAGTGTTCCGAGCGTATGGGACTTTTGTTGGAAATGGTTCATCTTAAAACACCTCCATAGTCGATAGCTGTTTATTTTCAGGATCATTATGCATAGATCCTTAATTCGTCAACTGTCACAATTTTAAAAACGGCTTTTAAAGCTTTTTAAACGTATTTATCAAACATTTTCAAGGACTAAACGACTCAAGCGTCCTATTGAGCGTTTGAACATTTTTGGGACATCCAGCGAGTAAAAAACGTATTAACCATAATATGGTCATACAATATTTTATTACTGCTAGTGGAATTAATGCCTAGGATTATCTCAATCCTACGATATATCACATGACGAGGTTTCTCTTCCATTTTTTTGACAACATCAATGTTTTCCGCCAGTATTAGTCATTTTGGACGACTTTCGCAAAGTTCACTGGTGAGCCAATGACATACAATATTATACTTGTTAAACTAGCGTTTTACAATGGTAAAGGACAGATCTTTATCACCAAAAGATAAATTTAGCTGACCGCTTCAGTTTTGTATTGATTAACCACGTCGAAAGTCATAATAAATCTTCGCGCGAAAATTTCCGCAAGTCAATTCCATGTTTTTGTAGTCACGATAATTTTCAATTCAATGTTAATAATACAAAACGTGCTCAAATGATAAAAAGTTTTGAATAAGGTTGTAGGCAAAAATGTCAAACTTTTCATTAAAAGTATCAGATGTCGTCTAACAACACGTTATGTTGTCGAGGCTCACAACTTAAATAGTGCCCTAGGTAACACTAAAAACATAAATTCGCAAAACCTTATGAGTAAATTGAATAAAATTCAATTATTCCGTTTCTGTCTAAAATTAAATAATTTCACAGCAGTATTAAATTTTAAAGAATACTTGAAGTAAAGTATTTCAACTTTCGTTTTAACTCTATAACGATTAAATCTCACAGTAGTTAGGTAATTAATATACAAGCAGCCAAAGCAGCTTTCTGGCTAAGGGCAGTGATCAGAAGATATTAGAATCGATTCAGTAAACCTGATATTATTATCTAAACTCTAAATGGTGCCCGTTTCATAAGGTTTAAACTATTTGCAATATTAATCTCGTTTGATATTTATCTTTTAACTAGGCTATTGATCGATTGGCAGTCTGTGACATTTTATTAGTATCTCTAGATTGCTCTAAATGTTACGAGTATATCGAAAATAATTTAACAATTTAACCGGCTCTTACAGCGTATCTGACTGATAATTATAATTTTGTACAATATTGTTTCATTTTATCGTCAATAGAATATGTACCTGATTAGATACAATAAAAAAATAATACAAAATTATGTATTGTTAAACCAAAATCATTCATGCGTTACTAGTTTGCAACAAGTTATAATTGTTAAAGTTGTTTGTTTAGAATTGTTCTTTTATATTTGACATACTTACATATGAGTACTACCTACGAGTACATGGGTCAACGTATATTATTCACTAGCTTTTGCCTGCGGCTTCACCCGCGTGAAATTTAATTTGTCACAGATCGTCATAAATTATAGCCTATATGTTATGCTGGGTTATAAAGAACAATACTGTAAAATTTCATCAAAATCTGTTCAGTATTTTTTGCGTGAAAGAGTAACAAACATCCATCCAGACATTCAAACCTTCGCATTTATAATATTAGTAGGATATTTATGCAAAAATCAATATTATCTTAAAAGAATTGTAACAATTCGCATTAACACAAAAAGTATGTAGGTATATCTATGATGATCTTTTCTACAAGAAGTTAGAATGTATACCTACCTATGTGATGGAGTAATCACCTATATTGAAGTAAATTACACGACGCATAGCTACCTCTTTGATCTATGTAATTTAAAGCGGCTACAAACTTGCATCATAGTGAGCATCGATGTTTCTTAGACGCTTATTGGTTAAATGTGATAATATTATGAGGAACCTGTTCAACGGCAACTGTTGGTTAAAGAAAATTACATGGTAGATAAATGTAGAGTAGACCTTGTAACAAAAGTAGTAATAAAGTTATTAAATGAGTAAAACGTAAGCTTAGTTCACAGGTCTTATGCCCGTTTTCACCATCATACCTTAATTTTTACGTGACCCCTATGGTAACATAACAGGAATTTTGTTTTCATAGAAGTCACTTAAAAATTAGGGATTTATGGTGAAAACGGGTATTAGATTAGGTTTGTTAGTACAAAAAAAATACACCCACTGATGGACAACGACCGATCCTGCGTTACCCGCATCCAGGAGCTTCCCGCGGTTTTCACCTAAATTATGATTAGGATCACTTTGAATTAGGTAGGATTCCTTTTTTGTATAAAGGTTTTTGTTTTAATGCATGTAAATGCAATAAAAGCAGAAATGTGTGGTACAAGCACGTGCAGTTTCGAAATTGATACCAAATTCGCCATCGAGTTCTACAATACTACAAAAACAAGTGTGTCGTGCTCAAGATCACCTCGCGATCTTAGGGTTATCACGACTTAAGTTTTGTTTTATTATATCCGCAATGGGTTACGACAATGGTTCATTCAAGATTCGGATCTAACTACGGTTTAAATGTCTTACCGTGCTGTCATAATAAGATCTTGACCAACAAGAGGAAGGTTAAAAGAGTGTAGTCAAAATTGTTAATGCCGAATCCTCTTATTGCATTAAAGTAGTAATTAAACAGCTAGTAATCTTTAACAAAAGTAAAGATTTGTGATATTTTTCCAGGAATCATAATTAAGTGTTTGATCGAGTTTGATCTCAAGAATAGATTCAAGCCTTATTATATTGTAAAATATTGAAATTAAACCAATTAAAGTCATGTTTCTATATTCGAATGCCGTTTCGTAATACGGGCTTAATAAGATATCAGAGTTATGTATCAGGCATTTAAGTCCGTAGAAGACATTTAGAAGAAATATCGTGATCGTTTAATGTCGTCTCGAAACTTAATATCCGTTGCGCGGGGGCAGATGCCCGAAACCACAGCCTTGATCGCGATAGGCTTATTTGCTAACCGCATGTTATTTCGTAATTAGTTTACTGCCGCTATGCAAAATTCCGAAATCTAATTGTTTGATATGGATGCACATTTTCACAGTAATTTATGTTACTTAATGTTAATTATTCAATTTTTTGTGGGTTTGATTTTCTTTTGGCCAGAGAAGAATGCCCAAAAAAAAACAAAGTGAAGATATACCTAGTACAGAATATTAGTAATATTTATTTTTCCCTCAGATCATAGAAAGAGAATAGATATGAAGTCGCGCGTAACTACAACGAGAACCAGTGTCCCCACATTTCCCCCACCACAGCTCCCACACACACATTCAACTGTGTAAAAACAAAGCGACTGAGAGTCTACGACAACATGTGCAACCGGCTTAAAAGTGCTGTGATTGGCCAGAAGGCGTGCCTTATGGCCAATCAATGGCCGCGTGACGTGACGCACACTTTGAAAAAAGCAATTAGAGAGAAGAAAGATAAAATGGAGTCGATAAGATATCGATACTTTAAATCCTGGGGGCAAGGCTCGAAATTGGTTTAAAAAATGCTTGTATGAAAACCTTTTTATTATTATACGTTATTATTATGTTCTTTAACGATTTTTGCATAAAGGAGTCAGTTCCATTTTGTATGGACGAAAAACTCAGAATCAATTATTGGGACTAAATGAAGTTACCTTATATTAATTTACCCCAACCAAAGCTCAATGTCGTTATCGATGGAGTATAGA